CTGCTGGTAGTTTCGAACTGCTGACCGTGAGATTAGCAGCCCAACTCGTAACCACTACGCTACTAGAGCACCTATTATACATGAACAGAAAAATCCAAATAAAGAGCATATAAACATAAAGAATGATATATGTGGTGATCCTTGAATGTAAGGAAATGTATTAGGTCCAAAAATGACTGGAAATTATGCCCCTGAAATGAGAATTTACTTATGATAATGTTACTATTTTTACATTATATAGCTTATTCAAAAAATATAATACATCACAAAACTCCCAGCTAGTGCTAGGAAGAGTAATGGGAGGGGCGAGTGGTAGAGAAAGAAACTGATTCCTTTTTTTTTAATTGCTGTTGTTATTAAGTGCCATTGAGTCAGTTCCAACCCATAGTGACCCTGTATAGGGTTTCCAAGGAGCGACTGGTGAGCTTGAACTGCTGACCTTGCAGTTCAAACAGCTTTGTAGTCTGGCACATTAACCCACAGCGCTACACCACGGGGGGCGGCGATCAAAAGGTAACACTTTATTTCAAAAGCTGATAAAGATATTTTATCTTCTTTGACTTATTTCAACCTTGCTTGCTGAAAGCAAAGAGGGCTTCAAATACTTACTGAGGAAGACAAAGACCACAGCTTTCAGCATGGATTGCACTTTAAATAAAGAAAACAAAAACCCTCACCAATGGATCAATAAATTACAGTATAATAAATGGAGAAAAGATTGAAGTTGTCAAAGACTTCAATTTGCTTGGACCCACAATCAACACTTATGGGAGCAGCAGTCAAGAACTCAGACATACTGGAGTAGGCAAATCTGCCGCACCATGTTCAAGAGCGAAGATGTCACTTTGAGGACTAAGGTGCACCTGACCTAAGCCATGGTATTTTCAATGGTCTCGTGTGCATGTGAAAATTGAGCAATGAATACAGTTGAATAATCGATGCATTTGAATATGGTGTTGGAGAATACTCAAAGTACCATGGGCTGCCAGAAGAACAAACAAATCTGTCTTGGAAGAAGTACAGCTAGAATGCTCCTTAGAAGCCAGCATGGTGAGACTTTGTTGTACTTTGGACGTACTACCAGGTGGGGCCAGTCCCCGGAGAAGGACCTTATGCTTGGAAAAGTGGAGGGTCAACGCAAAAGAGGAAGGACCCCAGTTAGATGGATCGACACAGTGGCAGCAACAAAGGACTCAAACATAATGACAGTTGTGAGTTTTGCCCAGAACCAGGCAAGGTTTTGTTGTACATAGAGTTGCTTTGAGTTGGAACCAAGTTGAAGGCACCTAATACCAATAACATTTGTTATCTATACACTCTTACCAAAAATATGAACTGCTACATATCTTTGTGAATTATTGAAGATTAAGAATTTAATAAAAAACGTCGAAACTCTTCTAGAAGTTAAAGAAAAAAAAAGTAGCATTTCTCTTTCAGGGTTAAATCTGCTGATAGCAGCCTTCTCATTAGAAATTGAAATCACAACCCTGAGATTAAAGGGAAACAAATATACAGCTATCAAAGTAAAATCTCAGAAAAAATAACCCCTCTAATATGAACAAGTTCAATTAAGGCCTCCTCACATCCATCATGTGATAATTCTCTATGTAGAACATATTTAATGTACTACAACAAGCTGGGTTCTGGGTTCTTGACCTTCAAAACACAAAGACACATCTCTCTTGTTATTTTAAAGAGCTTTATTTAGCATTTAATTTCCATACAATTCAGTACAACAAATTATAAAAGCTCTTTGCAAGATTTCACCCATAGGAAGTTAGAAACAGAAAAATCAATTGTTGCAAGAAAGTAAACTACTCTCTCATTTTAAAAGCCTTTTTCCATGAACAGACAAGTTCTTTCTCCTAGGCCAAAAGGTGGTCTTGTAAAAGCATTTGGGAGCATATCACACAAGATACATGATCTGAAAACATTTCAGTTTCTTTCTATGAGGTTGCTATGAGTTGCAATCGACTGGACAAAACCCAGCAAAAACATTAATTCCAAGGTTTCAATTCAAATTTCTTTTTTAAAATGAGTATTTCTATGTTAGTGCAGGTAGACTTTAGCCAAAGATGAGCTAAAATTTCCACATCTTAGACTAAGTTCATTGCAAAATAAAGCTGCAGATCCGATGAAATAGCTACATAGGCCCTTGCCATCCAGCAGTACCTACCCACAACACAAACACATACCACCCAAGAAACTTCAGTTGGTCTCATAGAGGTCAGGAAGACCACCTTTCAGAGGACAGAAAGCAGTCTAGAGAATACCTGGCTACAACGGCTTAAAGGAGCCCCTGTTTATGAAAAGCCTGTCATGGCAGTACCTTGAAAACATCATACCAACACTATGATTTGGGTACGATCCTCAGTTTAGATTTTTAAGAAGTAGAATGAACACAGAAAAAAACCTATGAAGTCACTAAGTTCAGAACTTTGCTTTCTTCAATAGTTTATCATCTCCCCAACCACACCTAATTTAAAGCAATTTTATTAGCACATAGGTTTATGCAAACAGTTCGTTAAACTGTGTGCTTACAGTAAGCAAAACCTGTAAAGAGAAGTCTGACATGGGTAATGCAAGGGGCTTCAAAAAGTTTGTGGAAAAACGGAATTCAAAGAGAACGGAATTGGTACAACTCAACCGACTCAACCGAGGGAGCAAGAGTGGTCTTCAGCTGTGAAGGAGCGGGTGGTCAGTTTATAAACAGGAAGGAGTCTGTCAGGTGATCTGCTGAGTCCCATAAATAGAAGTCAGTTAGGAGCACATTATTTGTTCTCACTGCTAACTCAGAAGCAAATCCAAGTGGCTTTGTTATTCACAAAAACCAGAGCCGTGTTTGAAGGCTATTACCAAACACGAACACACTTGCCAAGGTCTATGTGGCATGGAGCTGAAGTCAGAAGTCTCTTACTTTGGCTTGGTAAAGGGACTGAACACCAGAGCCAGGCCTCAGACGCTTTCCCTCTCTTTCATCCAGTGTCCCCCAATGGAAAGGTCAGAAAAGAGAATACTGACAGGCACAAAAAATATCTAACATGATTGGTAGAGATTTGGTCATGAGGAAATAAAAACATCTACTGTATCTGCTCACAGTGTTTTGGATCAGAGTATATGAATTTTGTCTTGCAAGATTTTTGGCACTTTATATTTTTCACTGAAGACTGGACACAATGGTTTGGAAACGATGATACCTAAACTATAGGGGAAGGGTTATCACTGTATGACCCCCAACTTAAATATAAAAATCACTGTATGTCATCAAAAAACGTAGGTACAATTTTATGTACTTCATATGCTCCATGCACTTCAAATACCCAAAGTGTTTAGAAGAACACATACAGGAATATTTAGATCAAATTTCAGTATGTCTAAGAAGGTAACAGAACTTTAACACGAAACCACATAGTCTGACATAGGGTACCTTACACATGCTTGGTTTCACTTGGAGTAAGGCACTCGCTGAAGGGTGTGCTGACCCATGCCGCCAGCTACAGCAGGCAGGCATCATTACTGGCTTCATTAAAGTCTTAGTACGAATTCAAATGCCTTATTACTGCAGTATCCTAAACTACAGTGGTCTACAACCTTATTAAAACGTAATTCAAGAGTTTCAGCTGCATAATTTAATAACTTAGCTGCTGTCAGGTTTTTGTTTAAATAAGTTTTGATAAAAGCCAAATACACTTTTATTCAAAATGAGTGTAGAAAAAATTCTAAAGCTGCTTAAGAAGTAGCTGAATAGAAAATTATTGTAATGTGATATATTCATCTCTGATACATATGTTAATTTACTTTAATACAACTGCAAGTAGCATTTAAATCATTTCCAACTGGCAAGACAGGGGAGAATATTAATTCATTAGCCATCTTGATTTAATTAAATGTACAATATGCTTCTATCAGCAATTTTTACATGTCCCCATCATTAGAAATTAATTACAAAAGCAATTATCAAAAATTTTTGAGCAGGTACACATGATCCTCTTCATTGTTTATAAGTAGGCATGACTTAGAGGCACTTCTTAGTAAGGAACAGAACACTAGCAGGACCTCACAGTAAGATTGTAGACACAAACCAAACTTGGTATGAAAATGCTGTCTGCTAAAAATAGCCTATTAGCGAATTTGTTAAGATCCAGCATTTAAAAAAGATCCAAACTTTGCAAGGTTCTAGGCTGTAAAAAATACAAAGGCTAAAAACACAAAACGTTTACAAAATTTTGCAAACCCAGTCAATTTAAATGAGTAAGAAATAAAGCAAAACTATCTTACTTGAAGGAGAGGTTAAATAGTATCAACAGGTTTTAAAATAACACTACTCAGTAACAAACTCTACTAGCTACATACAATTTCTGCCCCTTTGAGGACTTACAATATGGACTTGTAATGCTTCTCAGCATTGAAAAATACACACACACACAGACACGTACTATATAACACATACTACTGAAATGCTACACAGTACATTTCAGACAGAGTTCAACTGAAAAGTTTCATATGCATACAAAGAACTAACATAATTCTTTTTCAATGTTACGAGCATGAAAATTGACAAAACATTATAAAATTTTAAGGTAAAACAGGACAGTGAAGAGCTTTTTAGAACACCACTGATTGGGCTTCACAAGTGAAATAATATTAAATAATTTAATTATGTATTCCCTCAATTCAATTCAACCATTGCTGTCTTAAGACAAGTGAAGACAAAATGTATTTCAAATCCTGATCTTCTTAACAAAATTCTAGGCCCCTCTTAGAAAACGGTGAACATTTCTGCTAAGAACATTACTGGAAAAGACAAAGACCAGATGAAGAGGACCACGACTTGTGTAAGATGCTTTCCGAGATGGTAATACTTGTGTAAACATCTGTAGAACTTACTTGTATCACAGCTTTAAGGTGCAGGCTACCTAATTACATAGGAAACTATCAACTGAGTTTCATTATGAGGAGTTTTTACCTTATCAAAAATAGAGACTGAACAGAAAACTTTGTTACTTGTTTCTGGTTAGCTTGTAAACATGGAATGTTTTGTTCTGAAACACTCTAATGAAGTGTGCCATGTAAGGAGGCAGGTTTCTCTTAATCTCTTCACAGAAGCGAGGGTAGCCTGCAGGTTTCAAATCAGGTTCATTCTCTCCTGGGCCATCCATCACCTAAAACCAAAAGAAATTCAAATACAGTTTGAAGAAAATTCGTATTTATAAGAGACTGCCGAAGTAGGAAGAGGTATTTGGTTTGAGAATGTTATATTCCCATTCCATTCACTGCCATCGGGTTGATTTTGACTCAGAGAGCCTATAGGGCTCAGTAGCCCCATAGCATTTCCAAGTCCAAGGCTGTAATCTTTATTAAATCAGAGAGCCTCATCTTTCTCCCATAGACTGGCTGGTGGGGGCTTTGAACCCCTGACCTTTTGGTTATCAGCCCAATGCTTAACCCACTCACTGTACCACTTGTTGTTGTTGTTAAGTGCCATCGAGTCGGTTCCAACCCATAGCGACCCTGTACAGGGTTTCCGAGGGTGTAAATCTTTACGGGAGTAGAAAGCCTCATCTCTCTCCCGTGGAGCGGCTGGTAGTTTCGAACCGCTGACCTTAGGGTTCGCAGCCCGATTCGTAACCACTACGCTACCAGAGCTCCTCACTGTACCACTAGGGCTCCCTAAATGATATATTAGTGAAATTAAATGATATTATTTAAATTTCAGTGGCTACTGGGTCATTCTGAACATCCTAGAAAAGTTCAAGTCAAGGCTGTGAAGGAAACTTCAGTGCCGTACTTAAAACGATCACAGTCAACAGCAGAGCTAGAACTAGAAGGAAAGTCTCCTTTTTCTTAGACATGCTCCTTTGCTAACACTGAAATCAGAGATACATGAGTATGACCACAAGAAGTTCTTTACTTCATTAGGTAACCTTGTTAGTAAATATTATACACAAAGCAAAATTTAAGTGCGTATCTCTGGTTTTCCTCTGAATGTAACGTATTATGGACCGTTATTTTCCTTGGGCAAAAATCTGAATCTCACTATAGAAGAATCCAGATCAAATGGAGAATTACGCAGATAATTTCAATTCTCAGGGAATCTTAGATTTTCTGGAACCACGGTCGCTGGATAATCTGAACTACTGCCCCAAGATTATCTTTAAACCTTACACCAAAAATATTCACTGAAGACTAAAACAATCATTTAGCTGAATGCTTTCATTAGTTAACTTAGCTTTGAATGTTTTTATTGATACTGGTGTGGTACTGTAAAGTAAGCACAGAGCTTCTAACCACAGGTTGGTGGGTCAAACCCACCAGCTGCTCATCAGAAACTCTGTGCAGGGTATTATGAGTTGGAACTGACTTGCTGGCACTTAACAACAACTAGGTGTTTTTATTAATGAAAGGCATACTGAAATCAAGGGTAAAAGTTTTTCTGAGGTCATAATAGATTTTGCTGTAACAATGTGGGATACATATATCCCAAGTAGACTGGTGGGAGGGTTGGTAGTGTGAGGCCTGTTTCTTGAGATTCACACAGTTACAAAGGTCCATGGCAAACAGTAGCACATACTACAACTAGGATACCAGTGTCCCAAGAAATCTGAGAGGCTGAAAATGTTGGTGGGTGATATATGTCCCATGGGCCACAAAAGGACTAACCAGTTAAACATGTCTGAGCATGCTCTTTATGCTCTTTTCAGTTCTATGTGTACATGCCACTGAACTGACAGCAGCAACCTGACAGGTGAGACAGCAGGAGCCTTAGAGGGCATGAGTCTACGTGAAAAAGGGGGGAGTGTCTGCGGAGAACGTGAGCCCGTGTGTGTGTCTGTGCATACTCTCAAATAAAAAATATTTTTTAGAAATCTGAATCTCAAATTCTGTAGACAAGGTGTTGTTTCTTCTCTGATTTAGACTGTGTTTGTCATTCTGTCCTACTCATTTACAAATACCCATCCACTTTTACACCAAAATATACAGCACTTGAAGGGCTCCTGGTGTGGCACTGTAAGCTCAGCACTGGACTCTGAACCACAAGGTGGGTGGTTCAAACCTACCAGCTGCTCCTTGGAAACCCTATACAGGGTCACTGTGAGCTGGAACCGACTCGATGGCACTTTTAACGACAACATAGCATGGCTATCAAGTGGATTCCGACTCCTGGCGACCTTGTGCTAACGTTACAGTGCAGGACTGCTCCATCGGGTGTTCTGGGCTGCTTTATGGAGGGACAACAGCAGGCCCTTCTTTGGTGCTGCTGGGGGATGGGAGGTTGGGGTGGGCCTTGAACTGCTAACCTCTAAGTTAGCAGTCTAGCACAAGCTCACATCATCTCTGAGGAATGAAAATCTGTTTGAGACCTGGCGTAGCTGCAGGAACATTTTCTTCAGAAGGGCGAGGATTGCTTTCCGCTTTGGAGCACAAACTTGGTGACACCAAGCAATCTTGTGGAGGCGTGCTGCAGGAGAGATGGGGCACCGCGGGCAGTCATTATGCACGGACCCAACAGGATGGGGTACAGCAGTGGCTTTAAAGCTGAGTTTCCGTTTGCTCTTTTTGTAAGCAGTGAAATCTTAAAAGTTGGTTTCACGCAAAGCCCCAGTACACAGAAGAGCTAAAGGTGGAGCTGCTTTGCCAGCTGGAAAGTTGAGGACCTGGAGCTCCCCCGTCTCGTTCCCTTGCCCCAACCTTGTGGCAACCACAGAAATGCCAAGGGAATGCTTCCTTACGTGAAGTATACACTTACTTACAATATGAAGGAGGCTACTTGGCACTCCAAATGGAATCCCACCTCATCCAGGAGACGCCCTCACATGACGGTGAGACTGGGCATGCTTACGTGTCCATTGGCGATGTCCAGCAAGTCCCGTAGCCGACAGCCCCGGCGGTGTCTTCGCTCATAGCAGATGCTGTCTTCCAGGATGACGTAGTCAGTGCCAAAGGACCTTAGGAGGGCATGCACTTCCTCTGGAGACCTCTTGGCATAGATCTGGTATACCTGCCCGAAGGAGATAAGATTGGAGTGAGGGCAGCACAGCTCTCAGTGCCCGAGAGTTAGCTGAGGACTATCCAGACGGTGTGGCCCTGCCCCTGCCCTCCCAGCCCACTCAGCATCACTCCAGGAGAGAGCGCGTGGGACAATTTCCAAAAGAGTATTACTCAGACACGTTGGGAAGAGGGGAAGCGAGTCACGTGCTGAATACATTCCCAGCAGATGCCAATTCTAAGATTGTTTCACCAAAGCAAACGACACACCTAAGACCATCTCTGCCTTAGACAGGAAAACCTACAAACTCAAGGGTCCATGAGGGGTGGCGGCTCCATTGAGGGTAACTGCTAGGGAGGAGACTCAGCTTCTGATGATGGAAGATGGAGGACAAGACCTGAGGGGGTTGTTGGGTTAGAGACTGGGTGGCACGATGGCTTTACTGCTGCTATGCTGCATCTAACATTCACCTCTACCTGTGCGATGGTGAATTCTCTAAGGTCTCTTATAGCTCTAGTCTGTAACTCACCAAACAACGTCTCTGCCTGGCTGGGTCGGGGTAGGAGAAGGTGCCCGAAGATACTGATAGGATGACACGACTCAGCTGTGGATTAGCAAAGTTCACTGTAATGGTAAAAGCTTGAAACTCCAGCAAGGGTACTAAATAAACCACCTCAGAAGCACGAAGAGGGATCTCACTACCATCAAAGAAGAGTCAGGAATGGACTCTTGATCCCTGCTCACTGAACCTCCTCGACCCAGGGACAGAATGCTAGGCACGGGGGTGGGGGGTGGGGGGGGGGGGTAGGAGGGGGAGGAGGAGACGCAGCAGCTGCAGCAGCACCAGAAATCAGATCATGGAACAGAGCAGTGGCCTGCCTTCCATCCCACAGAGTCAGTAAAGCTGAGTGACTTTGGGCGGGAGGCGTGCTTGCAGAGCGAGCTGCCTCCAGTCACTTAGTTGGTGGAGCTAGGTTTGCTGACCACCAGAGCTAAGCTGAGAGCCTCTGGGATGAAGTTGACAGTGGAGAAGGTCTCTGTCCAGTCTCAGCAGCCTAGAAGACAGAGCTTTGCTGCCCAGGCAGAGAGAGGCCGTCCTGAAGACTTGTGCCCCTGTATTGTAACCTGTTGTTACTGTGGTGTTATATGCCGTCGAGTTGGTTCTGACTCACAGTGACCCGGGATGCGGATTCTGAGGAACAGCTGGTAAGTTTGAACTGCCGACCTTGCAATTGGGTGCTTATCCTACAGAGCCACACCAGGACTCTTCCCTAATACAACCCCATTAACTGGGAGTATGGTTTCTGAGTTCTGTGTAGTAGTGAGTTTTGGAAGGCAGATGAGAAGCAGAGTGTTATGGGAGGGATGGTTTGGTTCCTTTTCTTAATCCCACCTTTCCTCCTGGCGTGGAGAATGAGTAACTTGTAGCAGCCAGCAGTAGTCCAGAGGGGGCGCTACCTTCACACTCACCAGCTGCTCCACATACCTGAAGTGAGCCTGGGACTGTCCTCCGTTCTGGGAGCTGCTGGAGTTGGGGACACTGGGTGAAGAGAAGGAATCCTGGCAAGAAGTGCTGCTCTCACTGTGTCCACTCTCACGATGACAAGTTTCTCACTTCAAGTGACTGGGCACCGAAGGCCTATTCACAGTGTCCACAGGGACCGAAGAGACAGTAGTAGGAAAGTGAGCTGCTTCTACTGCTGAAACGGAGACGCCATCATAGAATCCAGCCCACACCTCAGACCACAGGCATCTAAGGATTGAAGAGGAGCCTTAGGGCTTTCAGGATACCAGGACGGGGACTCTCTTATTGTTAGGGACCATCGAGTTGTGCACAACAAAATGAAGCAGTGTCTGGTCCTGTCCTACACTAACAACTGCTGTGATGCCTGAGCTCACTGTTGCTAGCACTGTGGCAGTCCATCTTGTTGGAGAGCTTCCTCTTTTTTGCTTTCCATCCACTTTACAAAGCATGGTATCTTCTCCAGGGACCAATCCCTCTTATTAACACGTCTGAAGTATGAGAGAGAAAGTCTCACCATCCTGGCTTCTAAGAAGTATTCTCACTGTACTTCTTCCAGACAGATTTGTTTGTTCTTTTGGTAGTCCGTGGTACTTTCAGCCTTCATCTTTACCACTCTAATTCAAATGCATCAATTCTACGGTCTTCCTTATTCATTGTCCAACTTTCACATGCATATGTGGCAACTTGAAAATATCATGGCTTCGCTCAGGCACCCCTTAGTCCTGGTGGGATTGACCGCTGACCTTGCTAATAACAGTCCAGTCCTTATCCTACAGCACCACACCAGGACTACAGACGGGGACCCAGAACTTGAAAACAGCAGTAAACCAGACTTCCTCATTACTCTTGAGACGAGCGGCATAAGGGAACCTTCTAACTAAACCTCATGTTTGCTGAGTCAGGCACTCTTCAGCCCTTTAGTTAACTTGGGCTATCTAGTTAACTTGGGGGTACCTGGAACACTTGTAGCTGGATTTAAATTAAGACAAATGAGCCCTGATAGCACAGTGGTTAAGTGTTTGGCTGAGAACTTAAAGGTCAGCAGTTCAAACCCTCCAGCTGTTCTGCAGGAGAATCGTGGCAGTCCGCTTCTTTAAACGTTGTTAAGTGCCGCAGAGTTGGTTCTGACTCATAGCTACTCTATATCAGGTTTTGGAGGAGTGGTTGGTGGGTTTGAATCGGTGTTCAAACCGAGCATGTGGTTTGGTTCATTATCCAGCATCGTCACACCAGGGCTCCCCTTAAACCATTAGCGCCTTGGAAACCCCACTGGGCAGTTCTGGTCTGTCTCTAGGGTTTCTCTATGAGCCAGAATTGACTTGATGACTGGTTGTTGTGCTTGTTAAGTGCTGTTGAGTCAGTGCTGAGGAGTGGCTGTATGTATGACCCACCAATCTTGGGGTTAGCAGTTCAATGCCTATCCTACAGCGCCATTCAATAATGACAAAGCGTCAGTTAAGAAAATTCTCAATCGTAAGACTGAGCATAATTTCCTCTGTTGTTGTTGTTAAGTGCCGTCGAGTCAGTTCTGACTCACAGCGACCTTGTATAGGGTTTCCGAGGCTGTAAATCTTTACAGGAGTAGAAAGCCTCCTCTTTCTCCTGTGGAACAGCTGGTAGTTTCAAACTGCTGACCTTGCGGTTCACAGCCCAATTCGTAACCACTACGCTACCAGAGCTCCTTGAGACTAGTGAAATCTAACCCCAAAATAAGGCTTTTTAACAATCTTTCAGTTACCTAGATTCAAGAATACCCAGTATAAAACACCACAGAAGTCTGACACCACGGCTGATGAGGGCTAAAGACCTAGGTACTTACCTGTACTGCTGACTGGATTCACCTGACCCGCAAAGGCCCCTCTACTTCAGTAGTTCCATGCCTAACAATCTGGAGTACAGCTATGTGTTGTGAGATGCCATCGGGTAGACTGAGATGCACAGTGACCCTATGACAACAGAATGAACCACTGCCCGGTCCCGTGCCAGCCTCACAATTGTTATGTGTGAATCCACTGGTGCTGCCACTGTGCCCATCCATCTCAGGAGGTCTTCATCTTGTCTCTCCTAGGAACATATCCAAAGTCCATGAGAAGTCTTGCCACCTTCGCTTCCAAGGAGACAAATACGTTTGTTCTTCTGGTAGTTTGTGGCACTTTCAATATTCTTTGCCAGCAACATAATTCAAATGCATCGATTCTTCTCTGCTGTTTGCTATTCATTGTCCAGGTTTCACATGTATATGAGGCAAATGAAAATACCGTGGCTTGGGTCCGGCTCACCTTAATCCTCAAAGTGGCCTCGTTGCTCTTAAACACTTTCAAGAGGACTTCTGCAGCACACTTGCTGAATGTTGATACATCAGTTGACTTCTTAACTGCTGCTCCTATGAAAATTGATTGTGGATCCAAGCACAATGAAGTTTTTGACAACTTCTACTATCTTTTCTCTGTTTATCATCATGTTATCATAGTACAGTTGAAAGGATTTCTGTTGTCTTTATACTGAGATGCAATCCATACAGATTTCCATCAGCAAGTATTTCAAGTCCACTTCCAATAAGAATGGTCTTGTTATCAGCATATTGTATGCTGTTAATGAGTTTTCCTCCAATCCTGATGCCACTTTCTTCTTCATATAACCCAGTTTTTTGGATTATTTGCTCAACATACAGATGGAACGCTGCTGTTATGTGCTGTTAAGTTGGTTCTGGCTCAAAGAAACCCTCTATAGGATTTCCAAGGAGTGGTTGGTAGGTTTGAAGTGCTGATCTTGTAGTTAAACAGTTCAGTGTTGTGAAAGGACACAACCCTGGCACATAACATTTTCTGATTTTAAATCATTCAGTATTTTCTTGTTCTGTTCGAGTAACTGCCTCTTGGTCTGTATACAGGCTCCACATGAGCACAAATTAAGTGTTCTGGAATAACCATTCTTCTCAACGTTTTCCATAGTTTGTTATGATCCACACAGCTGAATGCCTTTGTAATGTAAATGAAATGCATCCTTCTTGTATTCTCTGCTTTCAGCCAAGATGCACCTGACATCAGCAGTGACATCCCTCATTCTACATCCTCTTCTGAATCTGACTTGAGTTACTTGCATGTGATATTAATTATATTCTTTGATACTGTCCACATTCTGTACGGTCACCTTCTTTGGAATAGGGACAAAAATGGGTATCTTCCAGTCCGTTGGCCAGGTAGCTTCTTCCAAATCTCTTGGCATAGATGAGTGACCACCTTCAGCACTGCACCAGTTTGCTGAAACATCTCAGTATTCTCTGAATTCCTAGAACCATGGTTTTCACTAAAGTTTTCAGTGTAACTTGAATGTCTTCCTTCAGCGCTACTGGTTCTTGATCATGTGCTACCTCATAAAATGGTTGAATGTTAAACAAATCTTGATACACTGACTGTGTGTGCTCCTCCCATCTTCTCTTGATGCTTCCTGTATCATTCAGTATTTTGTTCATTGTTATTGTGAAGTGCCGTCAAGTTGGTTTCGACCCATAGCGGCTTTGTATAGGGTTTCCAAGGAGCGACTGCTGAGCTTGAACTGCTGACCCTGTGGTTCACACTGATTATATAGTCCAGTGCATTAACCCACAGCACCAGAGCAGGACTCCATAAAGCTGCATCATAATGACTGGCTGAAATTCAGTCAAGTTGAAGTTGAGACTGATGACTAACATACAAGCGGTGGTTGTTATGCGCTGTGTAGTCGGTTCCGACTCACAGCGACCCTGCACAGGGTTTCCGAGGCTGTAAATCTTCACCAGAGCAGAAAGCCTCATCTTTCTCCTGCAGCCCACTGGTAGTTTCAAACTGCTGATTTTGAGTTTAGCAGCCTGACTTGTAACCACTATGTTAAAGGTTTGGAATTTTTTCTTCATTTCTTTCAGGTTGAGAAATGCCAACTGTCTTCTTTCCTTTTGATTTTCTACTCTAGGTCTTGTACATTTCACTGTAAGCTTTACTAGGTCTTCTCCATATGCCCTTGGAAATTTACCATTCAACTCTTCTACTTCATCATTTCTTCCATTTGCTTCAGATACTCTATGTTCAAAGCAAGTGTCAGGGTCTCTTTTGGCATCCACTTTACTCTTTTCCTTCTTTCTTATCTTTTCAATGACCTTTTGCTCCTTCATGTATGATGTTTTGATGTCACCCCACAATTCTTCTGCTCTTCTGTCATTAATGTTCAATGCATCAAATGGTGTCTAAATTCACATGGGATAGACTACTCAAGGCAGTGTTCTGGCTCTTAATGGATTTTGAAAGCTTCAGTCTGAACTTGCATATTAGCAATGAGTGGTCTGTATGTATTGTGCAGAGGGATGCATGCACAGTACTGCTTATAATTGTAAAATACAAAGGCAAATCTAATTAGCTAAACAAGATATTGTATACCTTGTTGTTAAGGGCCGTTGAGTTGGTTCCAACTCATAGTGATCCTGTACAGGATTCTCAAGGAGCAGTGAGCTAGAACTACTAACCTTGAAGTTCAGTGCTTATCTTGCAGTGCCACACCAAGACTCCCATAGTACACCTACATGATGTAGTATTATGCAGTTTTAAATGTAATAAGAAGTTCTTAATATACTATTATGGAATGATTTCTAAAATACAAAAAGTGCCAGCAAGATATAGTATGTTCTTTCTGTGTAAAAAAGAGAGAATATGAATGTGTGGGCACACAAGAAACTGGTAACATTACTTGTCTTCTGGGAAGGGAACCAGTAGCTGGGACTCCAGGGTGGGAGACTTCTCTATTTTCTTTTGTACGTCTTCATATTTTTTACCTATTTCAAGCAAAACCAAACCAAAAAGCCTTTAGAAATAACAAATGGTCCATCAGTAATGTGGCCAGTATTTCTCTAGGGTTTTTCTTCCCCTCTCCCACTCAAGGCTCTGAGGCTCTGCACTCACAGGCTGCCTTCTGTACATCTTCTCTGTTATTCCTCTATACAAGGTGAACGTGCGACCTGACAGCATGCCTTCAACTGATGTGGGCTGGCCAAAGTCCACAATGAGAAGACATAAGCCCTATGCCCGTAGGTGGCGGCAGTAAGCATCATCTTAACCAAGCACAGGGAAGTCCACTGCTGGCCCACAAGAAGCCAGGAAAGGCAGCAGGAGAAGGTCCTTACCGCTTTGGTTCGCTCTCTCAGGCTTTTGTCTTCGTAGTGTGGGTGATTGGTTAAGATCCTTCCTGTGCAGAGCTTCACTCCAGCCAGCAACTGCATGCTTCCAGCAAACACAGCCTTTCTAGGAGTATTAGAACTGAGAGATTGGAGAGTCTGTATTAACCGCACAGCTAAGATTTCCTCAAAGAGAACAGAAAAGACCACATGACACTCAGAATTACCCAGCTTTGTGAGGAAGTGTTAAGAGTTGGGAACACAGGGGTGGCTGCATGGGTTTCTGATTGGCTCTCCCAAGTATTTTAGGAAACTTCTCATACCTGTTTTTGACTGTTCACTAGCACAAGGGTTAGGAAGCTTCTAATGTACTGTTCTGATGGGTTTACAATTATAATGAATTGTCTTAAGAAGCAGGTGGCTTCTGAGTCTGAACTTCTACGGTAAAACCCATATTCCTTTCCACTATTGCTCCACGGAGGTAGATGGTAAAAAAAAAAATTCAATAGGCTGCCATTGCTTTTTGTTTTAAACTTAACACATCAAACTTAAATTTCCATTTATACTTACAATGTAATAAATTTTAAATTCAGAAAATGCAACTGATCATGAGTAAATGATGAAAGTTCTTGCTTAAAATGAAAGCAAAAAAGGTAACAGATATTAAATTAAAAAAACAACAAAACAAACCCAAATGGAATAAATAAGAAAAAAGCATAGAAAGGAGACCCTGAAGTAGAAAACATCTTCTTTAACATGGGAATGCACAATATTTTAAACGTGGAAACACGAGCATTCTATTTTTCCTTTTGTGTATTTTTCTTTTGTTCAGCTCATGGAAAACTATAGACATCTAAAAGAATATAGGGCACCCTAATGTTAAATGATTTCATCTTCCAACTACCAGAAGCTACGATCCTACCCATGAGTATGAGGGACAGCGATGGAGGACTAAGAAGAGAGTCCCTGAACAGGGCTAAGTATTGTTTTCTTCTCCCTATTGTCCCTGGGAAAACAGAATTTTAGTGGTTGAATTAACTCTCTTCCATTTTTGGAAACCTAGCTCATCACATGCAAACTGATGATACATGTTTGTTGTTTTAAATAATAAAGAACACAACAGCTTGTCTATGGATTCTCCTCAATATAAAATACAGAAGTTACTATGAGGTCCACTAAGAATACTGCAAGACACAATTCCTTTTATGTTAAGAAAGAGGAATCTGCTAGGCTGAGTTAGAAGGGAGTTAGTTTTAAGGAATCCAATGGAAATGATCACAAGTCAACATTCTTTGCTGAAACTGCTCTAGCAGGCTGTTCCCATTGTTCACAGAGAGCAGCACAGGAAACGGACTCTGGTGATGAAGTTTCTAAGAGAAACCCCATTATATTTACCTATCTCATGTGGATGTTGTATTCATTCCAACTTGGTGCTAAGATCACAGCTTGAATGCCATCCACCTAAGGGCTTAGATCTGTATTAGCAAGAAGTGACCATTCAGAGTTGTGACATTTACTTTTGAAAAACTGAAGATTTTGTCTCTAACAGTAACACTCGTGCTCCACAGAGTGATGGGATGACAGTGAGCAGACGGAATGACACGCTCTGCAATTCTGGCCAGAGCCCAGAATGTAGATCACGGCAGGAAAAGTCTTACGTGAACTTGGCTGTACCTGACAGGTTGTTGCAGTTCTAACAAGCAGGCCCAGGTTCACAAGGACAAATCAGCATTTGCTCTCGCCCTCTGTACCAGCAATTTATAAAGAAACTTTGACGCCTGCCCCTCATGTTTAAAGGAATATGAGGGTTTATAAAAACAAATGAAGGTACTCAGAGTTTCTCAGTGCAGCGTTTGAGAGAAAGTCAGTTTTATTCAATTAACACATATTAAACATGTATTCAATGCCATATCCACTGATTATCCTAATTCAGAGTGTGCCAAAATTGCTAAACTTGCTAGAGAGAAAAACACAAGCGCACTGCCATCGAGTTAATTCTGGCTCATAGCGCCCTATATGGAGATGAACAAATATGAAAGAAAATGTCATCATTTCTCCTTTTGTATAGTTTGAATTGGTTTGAATCATATTTCACTACCATAAATGATACAGTAACATCACGCACTGATGCTAGAAATAGCTATCTTTGGGTCCTATGGACTAAACAAATTCAGAATGCAGGAAGAAAATGAGTCTGGTCTCCACGTCTGGCAGAGCATAAGGTTGAGGTGAGAGCAAACAGGGAGTGAATTACCCTGGTTTGAAGCCTTACTGTCTACACAGTGGCAGACTGATCTTTCTGCATAAATGACAAGTCCAGCAGCTGAGCTTGTAATACTCATTAATATTATATGTGCAACATTGTCTTAGCACCATTGTTTTGAATATATAACAAGAATCAGCACCAAGGAGATTCACAGAATTATGTTTTATAATTATGATCTCTGTTACTGTGTGTTTTCCTAAGGAGAAAAGCATATTTGGCAAAGATAGATGACTGGCCTTGTTATCTATTCATGGCAAAGGACCAACATTTCAGCCAGCTTCTTGTATTATAATCAGAACACTTCAATCAATTACATTGTCCACAAAAGGATTAATTGTCAAAAGTCCTCAACTGGTTCACTGGGAAGTTACAATTATTCTTCATTTAAGAAATATTACTGAGGCCCTACTATGTGCTGTGCTTGCTGAAAGTGAAGAGGGCTTGAAACATTTACTGATGAAGATCAAAGAGCACAGCCTTCAGTATGGATTGCATCTCAATGTCAAGAAAACAAAAATCCTCACCACTGGACCAA